CTCGTTTCGATAATGTGTTCTTCTCATCCTTGGGACCTGAGCTTCAGAGTCACTTTATCTGAGAAACCTTTTAGGACATTCCATCTCCGTAGAGCCTCCACTGTTTGCTGCAATACCAGTTCCATGTGCTATGTTCTCAGTGTATATGGAAAGTTTAATTTGTCACTTGGTTGTTTATTATGTCTCCCCACTAAAGTATCAAGTTCCTGACAGCAGAGACCTTGGAGTTTAGCTCATTCACTGTCATTAAGTCCTCAGTAAGTAGTTTTGCAGTGAATTATACTAAGTAAATCTTATTTAACCACCAGAGCTTTAAAAGATTATGACCATTCTCATTGAACATATTTCTGCCTACTGAGCCCAGTGCAGCCTTAGGCCGATCCTTGCAGTCGTCTGTGTTTGTACTATGGTCCAGTAAAAAGATGCCCTGAAGGTCTTTATGCTGACCTCAGATTATAGAGCCCTTTTAAATATGTATTTTAATAACAGCAATATTATGTGCTCCTTGTTAATAATAAAAGAAAGAAAAAGCCTAAAATGAACAACTACACTCCCTAGTCTTTGCACTCATATATTTGTATACTTGGCTATGGGCAATCACTATTATTTCTTTGGGTTTTCTTCCTCTTGTGGTGTTTTTTTTTTTTTCCTTCATATATCTAAATGTTATAACAATATTTCATACAGCATACTTGTCTTGACATTTCTTGCTATGATAGGTAAGGATTTAACTCATTTCTCCCCTTCTTCTTTTATTATTGTAACAATAAATAGCATCCTTTTATTTCTTGTCCACTAACTAGAGATGACATCTCTTGGTTCCCTCATTTATCATATGAAGATTAGCAAACACACCCTTCTTGTTCCTTCTTTTCCTTCCCTTTTACCTACCAAATCTTGTTAATTGTATTTTCATGTTTTCAGAGTTGATACCATTTACATTCTATACTATTCAAAATAATTAACCTTTCTCATTTCCAATTAATCAAAATTATGATACATTTTAATTTGCATTTTATTTAGACCTTTTATATTCATTTTCTTATAGTTTTTCCTGGAGCAAATATGTCTTCCATACTATGGTCTTAGTATCTTCCAACTTGTACTGATTCTGATGACTGCTTAGAATCTTTTCATTTTATTTATTTATTTTTTTATTTTTTTATTTTATTTTTTTTCAATATATGAAATTTATTGTCAAATTGGTTTCCATACAACACCCAGTGCTCATCCCAA